GGGGGGGTTGTGGGTGAGGGTAGACCATCTTCCATGCAGAGTACCCATTTGTTACTACAAGTGTTAACTGCAATTATGCCAATCAATAACATGAAAAATACATATAATTGGCTTTGCAGGGCAGTACTTGACAGTGGGTCATGGTGGTCTGAACATGTTTTGACATACCAGAATACATATACTTGTATAACAGTACAACACGAATAGGTCAAACACAAAAGACTCGTTTGTTTTTTGTTTCAGTAGAGGTTTTACGGCACTCGCAACCCACAGAAGACTCGAAATCACGCATCCGTCGAACTGTGCCTGCAGTCCCGGTTTTTTAAAAGTTTTTTTCTTTTTCTTTGTAAAATATCCCTCCAACTACGGATCCCTCCAACTACGGATCCCTCCAACTACCGAGACTGGTCCCGACGAATTCAACCTACCCGTGTTATACTGTATACAGTCAAACCTATCGGCCACATGTACAAGCAACCGCTTCCAGTTTCCCCCTTTGCCTTTTTTTACATTATAATGACTGTCCAAGACCTCCATCTGTCTAAGACAACCACTTTGCTCGGAAACAATGGAAGGCTGTCCTGGACAATTTTGTGAGGAAGACAGAAAGACAGAGAGTGGAATAAGAAACAGTACGGCCATAAGACAGGCAGACAGACAGAAAGAGAAATACACTAAAGAAAAAGGAATGGGGATGGGGGGTGGGGGTGGGAGGAGTGGGGGAAGGAGAGAAAGACAACATGCATGACAAACCTGATGACATTGTCCAAATTGAAGAAGATAAATCCTAAGCGAAAATGCAGACAAAAACAGTGTCAAACACAACCTTAAAATACAATTCAATAAGAGTCATTGGCAAAGAAAAGTCACGGGATGCCAGAGTCAGTGTGAGATGGAAGTCATTGGCCGACGAGAACGGAGTAATTCTTTGACAAATTTTTGGCAAAATAAAGAATTCCATCAAACTTGCAGTTCAGTTATAGTTATATACAATAAATAAAAGTCTATCATTACATGTCATAGTACCATGAACAAAGTATTAAGTAGCTAAAAGAAGTAAGGATTGTCCCATCAGCTCAGTTGGTGTCAAGCTGGACTAGTAAGCGGATGACCTTTGCCTTTATTAAAAAACCGATTGCTCCATTAGCTCAGTTGGCATCAAGCTGCACTACAGAGTGGATGGCCCTGGTTCAAATCCCAGATTGGGTATTCTTGAACCCGGGTCGTTTTGAGGAGTTTTCAAGGCTCTCAAGCGATATCAGCACGTCTCGCGCTCAACCCATTCAGCATGGTCCTATCGGAGATGGATGTTAAATTTTGAGTTCCCGCCTCTTGAATAAATCTAATAGCACTGAAAGGGGAGTTAATCCCATACACTTTTTTAAAAATTCAAATCCCTGAGTGTTTTTAAACCTGGGTCACTTTGTGGAATGTTCACTGCTCTCAATCCATTTCGCTTGGTCCTATCGGAGATGGATGTTAAATCCAGAGGTTTTTTAGTTTAGTTTTAGTAGAGGTTTTACGGCGCTCGCAACTGCATACGGTCATATGAGCGCCAAAGGGGTGGATGTCAACAGAGAAGTCCTTAAGGGGAATCAGACTTACTCTGCTCACCTCTCTTGCTTCAACAGCACAAAGTCGACTATCAAGGCACCCCGGAAATAGCGGGTCACAAGAGTGTGACAAACATACAAAGCAAGTAGAGGAAAATGACGATAGTAAGGATTAGGAAAGAAAAAGTAGCAGTTCCCTGTTGTAGTTCAGGCACAGTTATGAGCATGACATTGTTGGATCAGCCCATTTACAATTCTACTGTGCATTAGAACGAGAAATGTCCCCCTTTGGGAATGGTCTAAAGATACTTCAGTCAGTGGCACCGCCCCGGGGGGTTTCAAATCCCTGAGTGTTTTTAAACCTGGGTCACTTTGGGGAATGTTCACTGCTCTCAATTCATTTGGCTTGGTCCTATCGGAGATGGGTGTTAAATTCAAAGGTGCCGGGGACATTTAACCAATACGCTTATCGCTTACCAAAAGAAGTAATGTTCATGGTATAGCAGACGCTACAGTGGAGTCCTGAAATCTGCAGGACCTCCGGATTTTCTTCAGTTTGACCAAGTTTTCAGTTGGGGGGGGGGTTGGTAAGTGTTTTACAGCGCTTGCAACTGCATAAGGTCATATGAACCACAGGACACATTAAATATTATCAATTTAGAGAGGTTGCTTAAACCGACGGAAAAAAACTGGGGCTTTTATCCAATTTTCTTTCAGTTTACCACTGTTTTAGGATTAACTGCGTTCGTTTTAAGATTAAACGGACTCCAGTGTGGCTGCATTTTCCACCTTCTGATACAAGAGTTCGGGAAGGGGCACAGCACAAGGCAGAATAATAATAACAACTCTGCAGTTGACAGTACAGTAAAGAACCCAGCCATGTTAACAATAAGAAGTTAAGTGAAAAAAAAGAAATGGTATAGGTTTAACATCTCTATCAACACTGTTAGGTCATGAGGCAGTAGAAGGTAAGTTCACATCAGCGTTACATACAGTCAAACCTGCTATACCAACCACCCGTCCAAGGTAATCACTAGTGCAAATGACCACTTCCCATTTTCCCCCTTGCATTTTTCCCAATATAATACAGTATAACACGAATAGGTCACACACAGAAGACTCGAAATCATGCATCCGTCAAGCTGTGCCGGCAGTCCTGTTGCTTGTTTTTTTTAATTTATCATTGTAAGATATCCCTCGAACTATGAATCTCTCGAACTACCGAGGCCGGTCCCAACGAATTCGAGCTATCCGCGTTATACTGTATTATAATGACTCTGTCCAAGAAGACAACCTGTCTAAGACAACCGCTTTTCTCCGTGACAGCAGGTGGCCATCCTGGGAAAATCTTACTGTATTTACTATGACTCATGACAGTAAAAAGTATGTTCCATGATCCACAGCAAACAAGTCACTGTAAAAGAATCATAGTGACAGTAACAGTAACACTTAACAGTGATCAATAACAATTGACTGACATTCAGCTGAATAAATCACTCCACTAACAACATCACCACTATTAGATAAACACTAAAACATAATTCTTTGATCAACATTATATATCATGTATATATTATAATACAGTAGTCTCCACCTAAGATCCCACCACTTACGATCCCGGTTCGCTTACGATCCCGCTGTTTTAAGAAAACAGAATTTTTACTATACAAAAGTCACCCCTAAGATCCCGCTCTGATTCACTCTGAAGGTCTACATTCGGCTAAGATCCCGCATTTCAGATCATAATTTGAGGAACAAAAACCCTGGCGGGCACAGCCAATCAACCAAGAGTGAAAAGTTGAGATCAATAAACTGTCCATCGCGTCAAAGATCAGCCACTATCGTGAATGTGATCACATACACGTAAAACTCTATGGAGCTATACAATGTTTGCCCCAGACGGGATCACACCGGGTGTAAACTGACCGACACGTTTGTTTTCCCCACACATCGCACTCACACCTGAGCTCTCCCCCTAAACTTATATCACTCGCTGGGCGGGTATGGCCTAGACATTCCCTTCAGGCGGGATCACATCGAACTGTGAACTCTTCCTTGACCATTGCTGCAGCAGTCTTTACTCCCGAATTTGCGAGACAGACTGAATTTTAATTGGTGTGTTCGCAACGTAATCATGTGTAATGACAAAGGCGGTTGGGGGGGGGACTCTGTCAGAGATAGAAAACTATAAATTTTCGACAGGTAAAAGGGAGGGGCACCTGGATAAGCGTAGAACTTGAGACTCATGATAGGATAATAAGTGAAAATGGTGCACCTCATGCCAATATGCACTGTAATAGGTCATCAAGGTTAACCGCGCTTTGCTCACTATATATGCCATACACCCTCCAAGGGGTCTCGTCAATTCATTTTTAGAGTGGAAGGAGACCATTTTACCGATTGTGAGCCTTAACATGGGTCACCATAGATTCTTCCCTGAGTTCGTCGGTTAAGATCCCGGTTCGCCTAGGACCCCGCATTTCCTTGCTCCCGAGCACCGGGATCTTAGGCGGAGACTACTGTATATATATAGCACATTTTAAAGTCATTGCGTATTGTACCAAATAATTTTAACAAAACTTCATTTCCCCATACACATGAGTGAGGATTGATTAAAAAGTAAGAGAAGGGAAGAGAATGTCCAGCAAACACCTCAACAGAAGAATGAATAAGAAGCTACAAAAAGAAGACAATAAAGCATAAAAACCTTATTTAAAAAGGAAACACTTTCAACAAGTGTGAAAAGGTTGCGACAATACCCTCCCTGTATGAACCACAAAAGTTCAGTTATGATGGATAGAGCAGAGGTCAGCGGGGACTTCGCAATAACTAAAAGCAAACAATGCAACAGAGATGAATTCAGGTTCATTTGAAAGGCCAGTAATGATCTAGTTGTGCTGCTGTCAACTTATCAAAATCTTTCACCAGTAAGACAGCTTAAACTTAAAACCGGTTAAAATTCAGCTCAATAAATGCATGAAAACGCCACATGGCATGTCAAAGACACTTAGTATGGCCACAGCTGAGTAATCTTAAGAACATATAGTGACTATCTAAACAAGATTTTGTCTGCCTGCAGTAGCAAAATAGCAATTTTAGTTTGAGTTTTATAGCAATATTGACACTTAGGACTTAGGAAAATCAGAACTAGAAAAGACGGTAAAATGAAGAAAAAAAATGAACTGCAAAAAATATAAAACCATGATAAGAACAATCATAAAAATTTGACCATAAAAGTTTTGTAAAAGTTTCCTTTACAGTAAGTAGACAGAGCACCTGCTCCACTGGCTTGTTCAATCAATGAAAACATTTCCTCAGCATCAATCCACAAGCATCTTGGAAGTCGTCTTTAGAAGATTCGAAAAAATTTACAGGAAAGGAGAGCGCTCCCATCAAGGTCACGACTTCCGACTTGGGCACTGGTTATTATTCAATTAACAACAAGGAAGGAATATATATATATATATAAGATTAACAATATTGACACTCCCAGGGAAAGTCAGAACTAAAAAAGTAACAAAATAAAAAATAAACAGTTAAAAATATTGAACTGCGTCAAGATCGGTCACAAAAATTGGACAATAAAAGTTCATCAAAAGTGGACTTCACAATATAAGTAGATAAAGCTTCCTACTCCACTGGCCTGCTCAATCAAAGAATGATTTTTCCTTTGCTCATGCAAACCCTACACCACAAACTTCAAACGTCTCTAAGGATTTTCCTGAGCATGACGACATTTTTTGTGCCTCAGCAGGTTCCCCGACTGTGTAAACTTTGCCCCACAGATTTCACACTCGAAGGGCTTTTCTCCAGTGTGAACTCTTTTGTGCATCTGCAGGCTGCCATTTTGGGCAAACGCTGCACTGCAAATGTCACACTTGTACGGTTTTTCTCCTGTATGTTTTCTTTTGTGTCTGTGTAGGTGGCCACTCCCAACGAACCCAGCTCCGCAAACATCACATTTGTAAGGCTTTTCTTCAGCGCCGGTATGTAATCTTTTGTGAATCTTAAGATTACCACTTAGTGCAAACTGTGCACCACACACTTCACATTTATAAGGAGTTTCCCCTGAGTGTATTTTTTTGTGATTCTCCAGATCGGTACTACCAGCAAACCGTGCATTACAAACTTCACACTGGTAGGGTTTTTCTCCCGTGTGTACCCTGAGATGTCTCCTTAGACGGCCATTCCCTGTAAACTCTTCGCCACAAAACTCACACGTGAAAGGTTTTTCCCCAGTGTGACTTCTTTCATGAATCTGCAGGTTGTTACGCCTGGCAAATCTAACACCACAAAATTTACACTTGAAACTCTTCTTTTCGAGTGCTGTTTCGTCATTCAAACTGCTACAACCGTCCGGAAGATCTGTCATATCTTGTCCTGTGTGTCTTTCTCGAGATGTTTCTTGTGACGTGCTACCCCAAGATTCGGTACAATTGTCAGAAGGGCAACTTGCACTGTGTCCATGACCTTCGTCCAGTGGTTCTGGAAGACTGGAAGTATGAGAACTATCACAGCCAGAGAAGACACCTGATGAAAGTCAAGTGAAAAAGTCAGTTAATAATAAAACATGTAACACTCAAACTCTTGTCTTTCATACCAGTGAGCATGATTTTAACTTTCAATCAACTTTCTCAAGACCAAATTCAATTTAAATTCAAGAATGGAATACATAACTCTTTATCTCCGGCAAGCCACTCCCAGGGGCTCGCGGTCGGAACCGCTGTGCCGGTGAGCCCTTGACAGCGGCTCGGGCACATTCCTTTAAGACGACTTCGACATTGAATTACTTTTCGGCAATTGTCGAAAACAGGTCTCTTTTATTGAGACTACATTCATTAGATGAAGAACTATCAAAATAGGTTGCCTTGTTTTGATTTAAATGACCAACTCTGAGATGTTTTTGTCATGTTTATATATACAAAACAGGGCCCAGCACAGTGGATTTTCCCTCCACAAAGGCAAAGAGTTTTAAAAAACTTGGCAAGATATTCCACTCCAACACAAACAAAACGAGACACACACACTGCACTGACTTCCTGCTTTTTCTAACCAAACTATGTTCTACATTAAAATACAGCTATCATCATAAGTCACAATCATGACACCAATGGGTCTGTTTGGCACTTTAGATGCTAATCTAAGTCTCCACTTAAAAGAACCAGTAAATTCCTGATATTGTGCAAAAACGCATGCTTCACATGGACCAGATAATTATAATATCTTCACATTTTAAAAGCATAAAAATAAATTGTGTCATGCGAAGTTGCAATGCATAGAATAATGAGGGGGGAAAACTGATTTGAAATCCTTTTTACATTTTAAGTTTTAAGAATTTTGGGTGTTATTTAAACAGCTTCACTTCATGTAGTAAATTGTTAAACAAAGGTTACTGTAAATGTAATAACATAAATTAAATACATTTTTCGGAAAAAATCACACACACACATTTCTGAAAGGGAGTGTATACAGACCCGGTAACCGGGAACAAAGTCACAAGGTATACAGACCCGGTAGGGGAACTCTTTTGTGATTTCGGAGAGTTTCAGCGCCCTCTTGGCTCAGGGTAGACCTAGGTTCTTCTAGATCTATGGTCTAGATCTAGATCTAGGCAGTCATAAATCTTTGATCTAGTTTCGCGGCTAGCCTAGATCTAGATCTAAATGAAGATTGCGGATGTCTTTTCGATGAACGATCGTTTTTCCTCCGTTTTGGAGTTGGAGGAATCACGATTTGAAGTAAAGAAAATGTCATAATTTCAATCGAGCAGTCACCCTCTCTCTCTCTCTGCCCCCCCCCTCTCTCTCTCTCTCTCTCTCTCTCTCTCTCTCTCTCTCTCTCTCTCTCTCTCTCTCTCTCTCTCTCGTTCTCTCTCTCTCTCTCTCTCTCTCTCTCTCTCTCTCTCTCTCTCTCTCTCTCTCTCTCTCTCTCTCTCTGTGTATCGCTCGCCTTCTCTTTTTCTTTGTTTGTCTCTGTATTTCTTTGTCCCCACCTATTTCCCACTCTATCTTTCTCTCGTTCCCTCCTGCCAACTGGGGCATGTCACATTTTGCTAGCACCACTCTCTCTCTCTCTCTCTCTCTCTCTCTCTCTCTCTCTCTCTCTCTCTCTCTCTCTCTCTCTCTCTCTCTCTCTCTCTCTCTCTCTCTCTCTCTCTCTCTCACACACACACACACACACACACACACACTCACGCACACACTCTCTAGATTTCTACCGGGTCTGGGCGCTGAAACTTCCCGAAATCACAAAAGAGTTTCCCTAGCGGGTCTGTATACTTCGTGACTTTGTTCCCGGTTACCGGGTCTGTATAAACTTCGTTTCTGAAAAGAAAGAGCCATGCCACTTTTACTACTTATTAGCAAATATTTATGCAAAGTGACACCATCATGTGTCATGGACTATCCAATAACTATTGTAACTTAACATGTCAATATAGATGAAATTATATATTCATCTGGAGCTGCATTGCTCAGACCAAGGTTTCAAGCAATATGTTATGTTATTATGTACTAGATCTAGTAGTAGGACCTATATTGGGGGCAGATTTGCTCTCATCAGGAGATCAGGCACTTTATTATAAGAGTAAGAAAAATGTTTTCAAATTCAGAAATGAACTATCAACCAACAAAACAGAGGTGACATCCTGGCGACAGCAACACTCACCTTCATGAACTTTATCAAGCTGACCATCATCAACTTTATCAAGCTGACCATCATCAACTTTATCAAGCTGACCATTATATTCAGGCCTCTCTGAGCCCCCACTGACGTCTTCTGCACCAACCCCTGAGTTCATGTTGGGTGAAACTAAGTAGTTTGTTTCCGACATCTGGTCATCTCCGAGTGAACAGTTTATAGGGCACATCCTGCTGAGCTTGACAGGAAAAGAAGACTTGCGCTTTCTCGATGATTTAGCAGTCAGATTAATGCTGGGCTGGTCTGCTTTCAGTAACCTGAGTTTGTCACTAATGCCAATTTTAAGTGTTTTCTTGTCACTTTGTTCCACTGCATGATGAGAAACATGCTCACTATCCCCAATGCCAAGGACATCCTTACAATCATCACTAGTATCTCTCTGAGTTTCAGCTATGTCTGTAGATCTAGAGGGAAATTCATTTTCATTATGGGGATCCATACTAGGTGTGAAATTCTTAGTCATCTGCTTTTTCTTAACGGAATCACAAGAAAGAGTCACTGGTTTGCACTGATCTCTGGATCTATTATGAATCTCTGTTTCACAGTCACTTCCATCAGAGTCAGGCTTTATTTGCATTGCCATTGTCTTCTCATTAATTTGATTATTGTTCCCTATCCAAGTGGTATTTAGCACTACTGAAAGTGAAAGCAGTTGTAAAGTTTACGTTATTTTGGTCTGTCTCCACCACCACACGTCCACAGACAGCAGTTTTATCCACAGACCAGCAGGGGCGATCTCAGTCTCTGATGCCACCATTGGTTCTTCAATGTCTATGTAGCCCCCCTCACTCTGAAGCATTCTGTGTATTCTACTACGAAGGAAACTATTGAAATCACTGTTTTCTTTACAAAATGTATCTCTAAGCACATCAATTTCGGTAACTTGGCCGAGCTTTGTTGACAGTGAACTGTTGCTCTGACTGAGCCTACAGTCCGTCCAAAACCGAAGTTGAAAGAGACAAGCAGACAAGTAAGCTTAGCAGTTAAAAATTTAAAGAATATGTTTCCAAAACAGAGTGTACTCTGCGCATTTGGTTCATAATAATAAAGTACAAATAGTTGTTATTCTACAAACGAGGATTTGTATCCAATGGAATAGTCAAAATAGACAGCAATGAAAGACATCATCAAGCAAATAAAGTGGTGACCTAGAATACATACTCTAGGCCTAAGATCTGTTGGTAGTCAAAAACAAATGTGTTACACTTGTAGGCCTAATAGTAGAGACGCAGTTGTATGCAATTTCTTTTTAAAGAATTTTAAAAGAGGAACATTATGCACAACCACAGAATTCTACACTTAGAATTCTGTGTGCACAGCACAATACTAAGAGAAAATTCTAAAGCGAAATTAATCCAACCCAGCAGTAAGTAAATTGCACTCATGACACCACGACTTCCATCCTTCTGCTCGGGATTAGGCTCCTGATTATTGTGTCTTTTGGACTTAACAAAAGTAAAGACTCGGTAGAAAAAACAAAAGTGCAAAAAAGGGGGGAAAAATATGTGCATTCATTTTTAAAAGACAAACCAGGTCTGATGGAGCTAAAGATTGTAGGTCTACTATTATTTCGTGAACAATTAATATCTTTAAGGTATTAGAACGCGAAATTAACCTGCCATTTCTGCTATTTGCCTAACATACCTTACAATAATCATATGTACGTAAATCTACCCTATAGGTGAAGAAAAATATTTGAATGTGGAATAAAAATTTGAATTTGCAAATTAGGCTTCCAATATGGCCGTCGATAATATACATCTTGAGCAAAGGAAGAATGGCGTGGAGATATGCCGGCTACTTCGAAGTCGAAGAAAAAGACAGGACATCATAGGAGGCCAAAAGACCCAAATGTGTAGACCGGGCGCGGTTCGTCCATAGAGCACGGTCGTGCAGTGCTGCCCAAAATTTTGTAATGTTCTATTACGTAAAACACCCACATTAATAAAATTTTAGTGATCCGGTAAACAAAAAAAAAGAAAAGAAAAAAATATGAGTTGTATAATTTTGACTTTAAATTGTCAATGGATCACCCCAGACACCCAGGTATCGCCAAAACAGACTTGATTGATCTCAATAATTATATCGAGTCGTAGAGCAGAGGGATTCTGTTCGGTTCAGTGGCGGGGAGAGAATCCAATGCAACAAGCCTAATGGAAGGATTCACCTATAGGCCTACAGACGAGATGGTCATAGACATCTTTTCTTTTTTTTTCTTTTTTTTTTGGAGGGGGGTAAGTGTTTTACAGCGTTCGCAACTGCATCAATAAGGCCATATGAGCGCACGGGACACATTAAACTTTCTCAGTTAGGTAAAAATTTATTAATTTTGAATTTTGCCCAGGTAGCAGCCGGTTTTAGGACCACCAAGTGCTCTTTTACATGCGCAACTTGCAAACAGGAACTCCGAGATTTTTAACCCTCTTACGAGAAGGTTAGCGGTTAGGCATTTTTCTTTTTGTAAGCTGCGGCAAGGAACGAACTGTCATTGCTGTTAACAATAATCAAAACAACGTTTCTTTTCTCACCTGGTAGTTTTTACGTCCAATATAATCTGAGACGGTGTAGCCAGTTTTATTGAGGTCAGAAAGAATTAGCAGTAGAAAGGCTGCAGAAAGAGTCAGGAGCCCAGAGGAGGGGCGCAGGGGGGGGGGGGGGGGGGCGCAGAAAGTGGAGACGAAAGCAGACGACAATATGTGATTAGAGAGCAGGACATAGAGGTGAGAGGAGACAAATTTAGGGAATAAAATTTTTCATCGCTGTCAGGTTTCGAACCCGGGACCTATTGAATGTGAGGCGAACACCGTACCTCTAGACGACGAGAGCCCCCTATCACAGACATTATTTTAAAAGACGTTGCTGAACACAATGCTTACGGTATCTGTAGTGTAGTGGTTATACAGATCTATGCGCTTCGCAGTCGCATGCATGAAACCCAGGTCCGATTCCCAGGTGGGAAGAATTTTTATCGAATGTCTCGGTCCTTTTCGGTGGATATTTTATTCGTCTCGGTCTTGGTTAGCCCTGACAAGCAGGGCTGAAGCACGCATCCTAAATTATCTAAATGTCGATGTGGACATTAAAAACACCTAAATTATTTTTTTTTTAAACACAATGCCTGCGGGGAGTATAACATACGGCCTGAGCTATAACTGTAAATATGAAGATCGTCTCTCTTGAGCCTTTCTTACAAACAGCAATGTCGGTGTTTTCAATGCCTGATTGACCCCCAGTTGTATTTCTCTGTACTGGAAATTACAATTTGCGGAGATTTTGTTGTGTATCGATTGACAACAATTTTACAGCATGGTTTCAAATTTGGCAGGTCAAGTAGAGACTAAAAGACATTACAGTCACCAGGTTTTTTCATTGATTCCTGGCGGTTGTTTTACCGAAAGGAGTAGATTTTTTAAAGACCGTGACAGCTGTGACAAAAATTTCTAAAGTGTGATATAATTAGAGTTAGTACAAGACAACGTTCAGCTCGCTATATGTCTGAATGTGTGTGTGTGTATGTGTGTGAGAGAGAGAGAGA